TATAATATTGACCCCGAGGATATAGAGAACCTGAAACCAATACTATGGCGCTAAGAAAGGTACTCGAATCCACTTGTAAGATCCCGAAGGTTGCTGTTTAACAGCGAAGGAGAGTTGATTTCTTAAAATACTCTAATATTCTTGACAATTCGTCTTAGAAAATAAGCCGAATTGGCAACCTATTTATAAGGTCTAGAGAGACTCCTTTTTCACTCGGGAAATGACGCCACCGTCCTACCTAAACTAGAGAAGGCAACTTGTAAATAAGCCGATCCTAACCAGAATAGAGTCTCTCATAATCCACGGCGTCATAAACCTAAATTTAAAACGTGAATAAGTAAACTAAATAACTTGATCTTTAAGTCGGCTTCTCGATCACCCTTCTAATCTCGCGACATTGGGCTGTGCACGTGCATGCAATTAAAGCTCAATTTCGACACTGTTTCACTTCGAATATCTCTTCGCTCAAAACATGAAAGTTGTAGATCTTTCAGTTAGCTTTCCGAATCATTTTGAATCATCTCAATCGGACTTCGGATGCGAGAGTTATAACCCGAATGGTAAACTCTGCCAGAATAGGCGAGAATCTCGGATGCATGGAATTCGACTTGTCCAACGACTTCTTCTCTTTCTTTTCTTCCAATTCCAAGCCACGGACTCTTCAATAGTCTTATTCAGCCCTTTACTCTCCATGGACAGCTCTAATAATTTCTTTAAACTCGTACGCTTTCGCGTCTTCCAATTCTTTGTCATGGAGCATCTCTGGATCATATCATTCTCCCCCTCTTTAAAAGGATTCGTCCTCGAATCCGGACAAATATCACAAGGAGTATAAACACAATCGATCTCATGATCGATCTCTCTCGTTGGCAGCAAACTTACACATCGCTGCACCACATCGCAGAACATATCATCTATTAGCCATTGAAGTGTGTACGAACATGGATATTTTGTAGCTCGAATTCCCAATGCGTCCAACCTCTGTATAGAGAATGGATGAAGCATCTCTCTAGGCACCGCCATCTCATCAACATTCACACTGAGAGTTTGCACTTTGCTTAGCTCGGCATTAACTTCGATGCATGGCTGGCTCATATCAGACCATCTAGTCATAGATGTATTCATTTTGCATTGTTATGCATTTGAGGTCAGATTTTGTGAGTGTACTTTGGTTTTTACCTTTATATATTTGTGGAAAATAATATGAAGATTTGGCTTTACCCGTAAACGTGCTTTGTTTGTGCTTGTTTTCCATTGCTTACTCGTGATTGTTGCGTTTACTTGTTTGATCAAAGTTCTTGTTAGTTCATGGGATGAGAATCGACATGATGGCTGATTTGTTTTCAGTGAAAACCAGACCAAATATGGAAACGAAAATTTCATCTGTAAAGAAACCCCTGTGACATTACCTATATCTAAAAATAATCCATGGTGTACGATCTTTTGGATCACATCCATCAAACCACACAAATTTCGGCCAAAAGTGAACAATGCCCCAATTGTAGCAAAAATTTGACCCGCAGTTTGATGCTTAACTGTACCACTCACATCTATCGTTAACCCCCAAAGCGTTAGTGTTGCATTAATGTTTGAACTTCATATCCTAATGAGTAATACACAAAAATTCGAATGCAGCACAATTTGGTAAACCCAAAGAATGCTTCTCATACCCGGGCTTTTAACCTCAATCACATAAAATCATTTTTATCTCAATTTATTTCAATAGAAAGTAGATACGAAATTATGTCACAGTCTGTGGACTTGCCGCTGCAAGTGTTTTCTTCCGCATGGTCCAGAACGCGGCATAATAACGGTTCTGCATTTACAAGAGAGAACTAAGTTATATGCATCATGATGCAAAATACAGCAGTAATATTAGTAGCAACGGCAGTGAAAAGTAGTGGTAGATTATTAATAACAATAATATAATTGTAATGAAGATTGTCATAATAACAATAATTATAAGCAACCGCGGCAGAAGTAGTGAAGTTGGACCGAATATCACGAAAACGAAACAATCATCAAATAGTAAAACCTCATAAAAACGTGCGTAGGTACTAATTTTAGGCTACAACTTGACAAGCGATGAAAAAAGGAATTGCAAGATTCCATGTACAAGTTATTAAGTTTGACGTGTAAAGAACATAGACGACTTTGATTACAAGAGAATCACCGGGGTCAATAATAAGTTGTACATAAATGGCCAATTGTGGACTCGTGATTGGCCTCTTTAGTGTCGGTAGGTTTTCACAATATAGCATTTCGAAGATAAAGATTTTAATCCTAATTATGCAATACTGAAAATCAAGCTGGTCGATAAATTTGAAAAAAAAATCACAAGTATACCTTGTTTTCAAATACATTTATACTAAAGATCAAACTATCTAACTGTAAAGACATCGATGTGTTAACTACTACAAAGAATTTCAGAGTCGATGCTCAAATCTAAATTTGCCTCATTAGTTCGCTTCAATATGAATTCATCAACCACTAGAAATACAGCATCTGTTTTCTTTTTCTTCTTAGCCACAAATTAACAGTTTTTTATCATTAATCTGTATTTTGGGTCATAATGATATTCATTTCCTAGATCACGCATTGCAGACTTAATAC